ATACATCGATCATTACTGAAAAAATTAATGAAAAAAAAACTTTGAGAATTCTTATGCTTCATTCTCTCTCTCTTTCTCTCTCTCTCTCTCTCTCTCTCTCTCTCACTCTTTCTCTTTCTCTCTTATCAATTTTTTTTTTTTTTTTATATCTAATCAGCCCTTTCGAACAATTAAGAAAAATAATTAATTCGATGATGAATGTTAGTTAGTAAGTTGTTCGCATAAGAAAATTCTATTTCGATGCATATCACAGACACTATTAATTAACGGCAATGAAAGTGCGTATTTTTTGTTTATTTATTTTGAGTTAATATTAATCGAGTGGTGAGGGGAGTGAGGGGGCCTTCCAGAAGGGGCGTATTCTTTTTCTTTTTTGTTATTTGTATATCTACGTTTAAAAAAAAAAAAGAAAAAAAAACAATTGTAACACACACGCACGGGAAATCACACGAAATGTTTGATTATTGATTGAACAATTAGGACAATAGTTATTATTTTTGTCTAACAACAACAAAAAAAGGGATTTATTATTTATCATTAGAATTTTTCTGGTTCCCTTTTTTTTTTTTACGTGTGATCTATGATAAGCTTAAGGGCCGCTTAATATTTTGAAAATGATCTACGACGGTACACAGTTTTGATCAGAGAACATTCATTTTTTTACTACGATGATTTTTTTTTTTTTTTTGTATGGAATTTTTTCTATCGAATCTAAAAAAATATTTTTATATTCTTTTGTTTTGAATTTATTTAAAAAATATATCATGAACACAATGAAATTATTGAAAGGTATACGAACAAATTTGTACTAAATTAAGTTTGTTAAATTAAGTTGTACTTCAAATTAAGTTTGAATAAATAATTAAATTTGTAAAATATTTTTTTTGTTGCTATTTTTCTATTTAAAAATTATAAATAATTTTATTATTTTTTTTTGTTTCTTTAGATCCGATAATTAAAAACCAATTTTCAGCTACGATGATTTTCGTATTTTCTATTTCACTCTCTCTCTGGAATTTTTTTTGGCATCGAATCTAAAAGAAAATTGTGTTTTGTTTTTAATTTAGTTTAAATTTAAATAAATTTTTAGTTTAAATAAATAATTGAATTTGCAGATATTTTTTTGTCTATTTTTCTATTTAAAAATTATAAATAATTTTCTTTTTTTTTTCTTTTTTTTAGATTCGATTATTCAAAGTTATCCATCGAGAGATTAAAAATGACATTTATTGTGTTAAATAAAATAATTAAAAACAAAAAAAAAAGGGAAAAAGATAAAATTATTTGTTTTACAAAATTAAATTTGTCTTTTTTTTTCTAAAAGAAATAATTATAAATTAAATATTGTTTTAATTGAAAATAATATTTCAAAAATATTAAAGTCGGTGTAATTTTGATCAAAGACATTTTCTGTGTTTGATCAAAATTCAAAATTTAAAAAACAATTTAATGAGAAAAATTCAAAGATTGTTGCACTTGTTTAACAAATACAAATAAATAAATAAATATATATACATACATATATGTTTATACATGTATATGTATATATATATATATATTAATATTTTCTTTATTTTTCTCACAATATTTTCTCTTTCCCTTTTTAATTGTAATAATTTGTTTAATACAATTCTCTTACAGATCAAAAAAACCGTCACACATTTTCTCCTATTTTTTCATTTTTGTAATCTCTTATCATTAAACGTATTATCTATTATACCCTAGGACAATTCGAAAGCTCAATTAGACACTTTAAATAGAAATATAGTATAAGATCATTACAAAAATAAAATAAATAATCTGAATAAATACAAATATAATAATATTATATATGTGTTGATGGTGTTAATGTTAGTCAATAAATTATTATTATTATTATTATTATTATTATTATTATTATTATTATTATTATTATTAATTATTAATATTATTTATTGTTATTAATATTATGTAAGATTATTGGAATATGTATAAGTGTAATATTGTATGTGTGATTTATGTTTGTAACACGAATGGTAAGATGATGTTGTATTAATGTTACTTGTATGTATTTGTATGTTTGTATAGATGCGAGGGCGAAGTTATGACGCGTTTATAATTATTAATAATGATGATAAAGATAAATAAGCGAGTTCGATTAAATAAAAATTAAGGTTAATTCATTAAATCATGATCAACCATTTAGGATTATAATTTGCGTTCATATTATGCCACTCGCGAATTGGCATTGAAATATGGTCAATACAATTTCCTATCATTTCATTCTCATTTGTTTATATATGATGAAGAATGTAAATAATGTAAATTAAAAATTAAACAAACACTCGAGAGAAAATAAAAAAAAAAAATAATATAAAATAAAATAATTAATTAATACTACACGAGTTCACACAAACGTGTATACCAAAAATTTTTCTAAGAATATATTTGATTAAGCACAAAACAAAAATACTAAATAAATAAGTTTGGCTGCACGTATGAGAATTTTATAAAGAAAAAAAAAAAATAAAAAGATAATTAAAAATTAGTATTAAAACGTCGTCTTTGTTATTAAATATAAAATTTGAATTTAAATGAGTTCTCGGCTTTTTTTTTTTTTTTTGACTAATTTTCTTAACCTCATTCGTACAATTTCCCCTAATTCAAAAAAAAAGAAAAAATCCTATTTAGAATTTTTTTTTTATCATTAATTTACGAATTATGAAAACGTAAATGACAATTTTATAGAAAATCGTTCTTTTTTTTTTTTTAATTATTTTTAAGCCAAAAAAAAAATCTCACCGAGAACAACAAATTCTGACGTGCTAGCTAATATAAAAAAATTACTGAATATTATGATAATATAAAAATTAAAAAAAAAAAAGATAATACAAAATTACGAGAGGGATATAAAAAAAAAAAAAATGAAGACGAGCTAAAAACACACACACACAAAATAAACAAAAGCTTCAGTGGAAGATAATATTTTCCAAAATGAGATAGACCATTTAAAAAAAAAAAAAAATAAAAAATAAAAAAAAAAGATTAATATTACGTTAAATCACTCAACGAATTTAACGTATTTTTTTTCTATCAATCAATCAATTCTCTCCTAAATTTCTACAAAAAGTTAATTTTAATAATTAACTATTAATTATAAACACAGCGGCGAAAACCGACGAACTCTACGAACATCCCCGAGGATTCATCTTTTTTTTTTTTTCTTAATTTTATCTCAAATCTTCATCCCAAAGAAAAACTTTGCAAATAAGATGACGATAAGAAACAACGTTCATGCAAAGTTCATGCAAATTATTATCAATATTATTATTATAAATAATATTTAAAAAAAAAAAAGATCAATCCAAAGGGTCAAATATAAAAAAAATAATACTAATTTTTTTATATTTGATAATTGAATAAAACATCCTCGTGTTTCCCATTGGAAAAGTTTAAATCCTTAGTCTCGCACCGATTTGATTTTTTCCCTTTTTTTTTTTTCCTTAAACAACGGAACTTATTATTACGATTATTAATTATGATTATTAATTAATGATTATTATGATTATCATTAGTTTTTTTCTTTTCTTTTTTTAATAATGAATAGTCTGATTAAGGGAATATCTTTGCGAGATAAAGTCGGTGAGTTTTTTCGAATGGGCGAGTCGTCGCCTCGTATCCCTTCTTCGGCTTCCGCCTTGCCGTCCTCATGATGGTGGTAATGTAGTACGAAGGTATTCGCATAATTGATTGACATATTCGAGACAATTAATGTAGTCCCGTAATATCAAAAAATCGCGCAAATTACGAAAAGTAGCCGATGATGCTGTCGACCGATATTCCTCCGCCATTACGTCCCTTGTAACGTCGTTACCTAAGGGAACGGCACGTTCAACCAATGCTGCTTGTACTTCGCATAGTACCTGTAACAAATAATAATAACCATATTTTTATTTTATTATATTCTAGATAATTTATCATTGAGAAGATAATTTGTAGATAATCATTCTTGCGAATAGGTTAGCACTGAGTGAACTTTCAATACAATTACAAATTTTTAAATATCAAATATGACAAGTATCATTTACAGGAACTCTGGGGAACATCAAGAATTACTTTCTTTACAAAATTAATTTTTAAATTTTCAATTTAGAATCAAATAATCCAAGAAACAAGCAACCTAACCTCTTAAACATAACATAATCTATATAATATTTAAATAATCAATTTATTATTATTATAATCTATATAATATATATATAAATAATCAACCTATTCTATTAAAAAAATAACAAAAAAATTATAAAAGAAAAAACTAAACACGTATTACATATATATACACTAGTTTATAACGGAATGTAAGCGAAGTAAATGATTCAAAGGGTGTAAAAAAAACAAACTGAGTGTTTGGGAAAGATAGGTGATTAGATCGAAGTTATTTTTATGTACACGCGATAACTGCGAAATCGAGGTCGATGGATATTATCGAACAGTAACAAAAAAAAAACAAATAAACAAAAAAATACGACAAAACGCGAGAAGGTGAAGAAAATCGATGTGGAACACTCGGCTGAGTGTCCTAAACGGTTGATCTGACGAGAAATGTTTTGCGGTTCTTTAGAGATTCTTTAGTATCTTTAAAACGTGTACTCAACAGGGGAAGGGGGTGTGGGTTTACGTAAAATCGCTCGTAAAACTACTGGTCAAATGCTTTTTATATCTTTCACAAGGCTTTAGCAAATAATAATAATAATGATAACAACAGCAATATTTCAAAGCAAGATAGTTGTTCGTTTGTTGTTAACCATTGTGAAAGTCGAGTATAATAATAATAACAACGTCTAATTATGATCTTTTTTTTTTTAATGTGAAGAATAAAATGATTTTGTTGCTTTTTTATTTATTTTTTTTTTTTTTTTTAAAGCACACTCACCGCACGTAGTTTCAATTCAGCCTCCCTAAAGTATTTGAAAAACGGTAGATTGTTTTCTTCTTGATCCCATACTATTTGTTCTAAGGCTACTGCGAATATTTGCAGAAATCTATAAGCTTTCAGTAACATCTCGTCCATCTGCATTATGAAAAACAAAACAAAACAAAACAAAAAAGGATTAAATTATCATTAATTTTTGTCACAATCTCAAATGTAAAATGGAAAATATTTCATGAGAAAAACTTACGCTGGAACCTTCCAAATGTTTTACATCCAATTGTTCCCCTAATCGTTTAGGTAATTCTGGAAAATTAGGTAACCAATCGTAAGACACTTCCTTCCATTGTGCATGCAAATTTTCGAAGTCGGATTTGAAACACTCTTTGACCTGCAATTATCGAAAATATTTTATTATTAATTTAAAAAATCAAACAAAAATTTGAAAAATTGATATAGTTCTTATGTATTCATCTCCCTTGTTTGTTTGCATTAATTTACATATAGGGGGGAATATTAATTAGTCATACGATTCAGTTTATCAGTGACACTTAAGGCAACATCAGAAACAGTTGATTTCTGTCATTGGCAGGAGAACACTGCATTGCGTAAGATTCAGGTATGTTTAAAAATCTTCACCCCTTTTTGTTAATATTGAATAAGTGTAATAAATGATTTTCACTGGTAAAAGATAAAATGTTTCGAAGTATAAAAATATGATTTAAAAAAATATTATTATCATTATCGTAAAAGTAATGATAAACTTTTATAGCAAGAAAACGACGAGAAGAAACAATTTTTTTTGTAGAAAAAAAGGCTACTTTTAAGTTTTTCCCATTCGGATTGATGATAAATGATAGGCAAGCGTAAAAGGGTCCGTGTATCGGTTTGAAGAAAGAAAATACGTCCTGTAGCATGACTGTGCTCTGTAGATGGATTTAAAAGTACTAGAATCTGATTTCGAATGGATTTTAAGTCATAGATCAAACAAAACTATTGTCGCATATTTTCGATTGTGAATAAACCAATAGAAATATCTAATGAAAAATGATAATCCTAAAAGGTAAGTATGTTTATGTAAATCTTTGTGTTAAACAACAAAAGCAAAAATGTCAGAAATAGAAAAGAATGGCAAAAGGAATTTCAAGAGGCGCCAGAATTCCGATACATTCAGAGAAGTTTCCTGTCTATTTCTTACTTTTTCTATTCTATTCTAAAGCAATAATATAGTTCGTGTCCTTTTCTTACAAAAGTAAGATGTCAAGGTAAGTTGGAGGGATTTAAAGGAATGGAAAATCACTCTCGTAAAAACCCATGCGAAGTCATCTATCTGAACCTAGCACGAAACATATTTTCTTTCAACATCCTCTTGTGAAAAGGTAGAAATCTTTGCTTGTGAAAGGACATTGTTGCGTTCATCTGAATGGAATGAATCAGTTCTTTTTAATATTAAAGTTGAAAGAAAGTACACCAAAAATATAATGAAAAAAGAACGATCATTAAGTTTGTTGTAAAAAAATATAAGTGAGAAAATCAATTATCCTGAAAGTTATCTTTGAGTAATGTGCAGATTAATTAGGGTTATAAACAAGATATTCAATAAAAAAAACGTAATGTTTATCATAATTTATATTTTAGATATATATATAAAATGAAGTTTAATAATAAGACAGTCTAAAAATTACCTAAATATTATTATTAGAATATTAAAAAAAAATTTACAATAAGTATGATAATATTATGTTTGTCGAAAGATTTTATGATACGCATATCTATATTTGAGGTACATTTAAATTTGCAGTGACATTTTCAGAAACCCTGTCAAGTATCAAGGAATTATTTTATTATTTTTTGACGTAAAAATAATTGTACAGCAGGTAAATCTTCTTCAATGATATTTTAATGATACGGAAACGGTTAATGTATTCATTAGCTAGGTAATATACGGAAAACTTTTGATTTCACACATTAAAGAAACTAATAAAATTATCTTTTAAATTTTTCTCTAGCGCCGGCTACTAACATATCTCAATAATAATAATAATCAAATTAGGTGAAAGAGGTGCAGGGTCATACATTCCAGTTTATCCAGTAACGCTCAAGGTAACATCGGTCGATTTCTTTATCGGCAGGAAAACACTGCATCGTCTAAGATTCAGGTAAGTAGTAAAGCAACTCTTTAAGTCTCTGTAGTATTTGTCCATTTATAAAAAGCTCCATTATTATTTGTCATATGATAATTTTTTTTTTTTGATTTTAAAATCGAATTAAATAATAATCACGTAATTATTTTATTATCTCGTCACTTTGTATTAACTAAACCATTAGTATTAACTAGTCCTTCTACGCTTAACAGTCAAATCTAAATTCAAAATAGCAAAAAAAAAAGAAAATAAGATAAATATTTATATACACAGTGAGTCACAGAATTATTCTTTATATCATTACTGACAAAGTTTATAAACAATAATTGATACACAATATTTTCAAATTCATATACACAGTAAATCTATTTTAAAATTAATTATTTATTTAACGAATAAATTAATATCTATTTTATTACTTTCTAAAGAATATTTTATTCTAAAAGAAATATATTAATTTAGATAAATGATAAAAAAAAAAGAAATCCCATATATTATATCATTTGTATAAAGTACGTCAAATATAAAATGAATTCGTTGAAACGAGTATTCGTAAATTAATATTATTTGTAATACCATTTAACGGTTGATATATTATTATATACTGAAGAAATAAATTATAAGTAAACTTTGACAATGATCATAAAAGTTTCAGAATATTTTTCAAACAAACAAAAAAATAAAACATTTATATAAATTCCTCTGATTTTAAACTGACTGATGTTTTAAAGTTTTCAAAAAGAAAATAACATTTTCATTACATAGATATATATATTACCTAGAGGTATAGAACTTTGGTCCTGCTGTAGTTTCTTTAATTCGTTTTGATATTCCTGACTATTTTGGCATCTAGAAACTGAGGATTGACTTATTCCAACTTCTGCTGCCATCTCTTCTTGAGTAATACGCGGGTTTTCAAGTGTCAAACGCACTAATTCTTGAATCATCCGTTCTTTATTTAGTCGTTTATAAGCAGGTCTGTTTAAGTTAAAATCACCGTTCCTGAATAACGCAAAGTTTCTATTGCATGTACTTATAGATATAATATTCTCGCCGTAAGCGTGTATGANAACTGACTGATGTCTTAAAGTTTTCCAAAAAGAAAATAACATTTTCATTACATAGATATATATATTACCTAGAGGTATAGAACTTTGGTCCTGCTGTAGTTTCTTTAATTCGTTTTGAAATTCCTGACTTTTTATGTAATTTGAAACTGTTTTTTGACTTATTCCGACTTCTGCTGCCATCTCTTCTTGAGTAATACCCGGGTTTTCAAGTGTCAAACGCACTAATTCTCCAATTGCACGTTCTTTATTTATTCTTTTCCTCATAGTTCTGTTTAAGTTAAAATCACCGCTCCTGAAGCGCCTAAAGTTTCTTTCACATGTACTTATAGATATAATATTCTCGCCGTAAGCGTGTATGAGCATTTGATGAGCCTGATAAGCAGATTCTTTACTATTAAAATAATAAAGTAACACTTCTCGCAAATGACGCATTGTTGGCTTATAAACTGACATTTTAAATTTGAAATTACTATACAATGTAAACACAAGTCAACAACTGATACTACCAAGTTATCTTCACGAAATTGTTAAGAGTATACCAAGCTGTCTTATATATATGTATTCGACGTCTACTTGTCGCTGATGCCATCTACAGAAATCTATATATATATATGTCCATACATAATATATATTACTTCTATATTTAATATATAGGTGGAGTTCACGTAACGTCGCACGACACCTAGCACCAGTCACTTATATATCTCCAAAAATAATAATGTAAACGATCCAAATACAAGTAAAAGGGGTGCAATGTTATATGATCCAGTTTATCAATGACGTTTAAGGCAATATCAGAAGCAGTCGATTTCAGTTTTTGGCAGGAAAACACTGCATCGCGTAATATTCAGGTAAGTGCTACAGTCWCATATCTGTGTTTAAATCTTAATGGTACTTGTTCAGTWAAAAATTTTTCTATTATTATTTGTTGTATATGAATTTTTTTGTTRATTTTTAAAACSGATTGTGTATGGATCATGTAATTTTGCTATTATCCTTTCCTCTAGTACCGGTAAAAAATAGTTCTTTAACGCTGGACAGTGAAAACTACATAGAAAATAGCAAAAGAAAAGTACGAGTAATGAACCAAATACGTGAAGGCCAAAGGAAGAAGTGAARTAATTGGGAAACAAGCTAAAGGAGTAAAAGCTAAGGATAAAAGTTGAGATAGAGATAAGATGAAACAGCCACTGATTGAGATATCTAAAATTGAAAGAACTGTTTGCGTAGGGTGCTTAGCGAACTATGGCGAAGACTGGATACATTGCTACAGTTGCTATGGGTGGGCTCATGAAGCATGTGCAGACAATCCTGAATTTTCGGACGTCTACATGTTTGATCAATGCCGTATAATTTAGAAATCTCCGGTGCTGGTTGTTCGAAGTGAAATCTGTTCGGTACTAGATGACTCTTCTAGCGATTGTATATTTTGACACCAAAGTTTAATTCTTATTTTTAAATATGTTTATGCAGAAGTTGTCTTTTTGTTAATTTATGTTGATTCTATAGTTTGTTGACTTTACTAATTAATAAATTAATAGTTTTTATTTTATTTCCGGAAAACCATATGTATCCGCGACTAGGCGACTTTCTTCTATATTTTTTACGAGAATGTAGAATAAAATAAAATTAAAAAAAAAACACGCATATGCATATTAGTTGAACGCTTGGTAACGTTTAGTCAGCGATTACTTTGATAACCCTCATTCCTGGTATTGGTGAACATGGTGAGATGAGAGAAGAAGTGAGAGGGAAGGGGTGAGGGTGAGATTGTGAGTGGGGGAAAAGGAAGAGGATTATAGGACACGTGCATGAGTAAGCCTAACTCTACGAACTAACACGAACAAAATTGTTCTTTGACTTTTTGGGGGAAATTACTATGCCAATGCACGCAAATAATCTGACTATTGGGGTTCCTTTTAAACAAAAATTACTAAGAACACTAGGCGCCAGGTTAAAACACGTTGTTTAATTGTCTCAACACGGAGGAGCGGATTATGAATCATTCGTTGCGTTAACTAATTAGCTAGAAAAAAATGATAGATGTAGGAAGAGAAGTGGGGTGGTGAGGTGAGGTAGGGGAAATCGAAACCCTCGGATTTGATGCAACTATGTGAGAGATGGTAAAAACTATTCCACGAATTTTTAACATTAGCGCCGTTAGTTCGTACTATCGT